GAGAGAGAGAGAGAGAGAGAGAGAGAGAGAGAAAGAGAGGGGGGGATAAAAACAAAATACTTTGGAGGAGATACCACGAAAACCTATAATTTTACTATGAATGCTTTTGTTTTTATTTTGATTATGTCATTCTTTCACGAAATCAAATTTTACCATGAACACGCTCTGTTTTCCTATTTCAATAACATGATTAACAATTAAGTTTATTCCACAATGCATATTAGGTGAAGAAATATTTAAAACTCTAAAAACAAAAACAAAACAAAAAAGAAAAGGAAAGAAAATACCTGAATACTATCATCTACACTACTCCTTCAGCCAAATCGGCCACACGACAAATCTAATCATTGAAGGACTGCTCATTTATCAAGGGACATAATTGAATTCGGTTTTGTTGAAATTTGATTTCTCCTCATGGGAATAGCAAATATACTGATAGTGGCCCTGCTATTAACAACATGACTTTTCAATGCCTCTCGTTTTTCCACCAGACCGCATGAAACCTGACCTCTCGTTGTGGTGGGAGAGAAAAAAAAAAAGCACAAGCACCACGCTTAAGGCCCGTTCCATTATCCCACGATATCCGATTGATCTGAAAATCGGAAGATCTGTTGGCAACCATACCACGCTCTGCATATGTGTCCCTACATTATTAGAGCAATTGTTGTTTTTTTCTTTTATATTTTACTTTATGTAAGTGATAAATTCAGTGTGGGGCTATGGGATGGGTATACGGCTATCACACAAATAAAAAGAGGCATGTTTATCGCCCATCAAATGGCTCCATTGTCCGTAATAATGTGCCGACATTCAAAATAACAATGCCTTTTGTTTAGTCGTGACGAAAAAAACCCCCAAACCAATCCAACTTTTTACCATGTGAAGCAATTCGAGCTTCTGCCTTTTGAACTCGATTAATATTAAAATCTGGGAGATGTGAATTTGTGTGGGAGTCCACGAGCGTAGATTCCAAACTCCAGGTAACTAAAAGAAGACAATATTCGTTATTATTTGAGGAGTGAACTTAATCTTGATGCTCACTCAAATTGTACATGGCGTCAATTAATATCTGTTTGGTGTCCACCCGACCTTGTGGTTTTGATTCCCCTCTGATTGTTGGAGTCACAAGCCCACCTTCTGGGGAAAAAACGTGAATTTGCCCAACACGAAACAATCCATTCTATCATCTTCTAGATCTATCACAGTCGCTATTGTGAAACAATTCCGGATACAAGCAGCAATAAAATTCCAAATCTTTGAATTTTCCAAGTTTTTGTTAGTTTGTTGCCACCCCCTCCCCACCCCACCATCAACCTCCC